GAAAATTCACCTTGTGAATCTGAGCTCCTAAAAAAATATATAGTAAATAGTTGTGCAACAGTGGTAGCTGAACTTAAAGTTGCTGGTGTCGCAGAGACCACTATTAACTATGTTGTTGGTGCTCTAGAAGAAGTGATTGAAGACATTCATTGTGAAACTCAAGAATCTGTGAAAAGCAGCCTATCTTTAGAGGAGCCCATAAAAAGTGCTGTTGAGTCTCAAATTGATCAGTGTTTTGAAAAAATGCAAAATCCTTTTGCAGCATTAAACACTGAGAGCAAGAGAATGAAGTATTTTTCAGAGAAATGGGGCAAAATAGATCCTGTTGAATATGTTCTTGGAACAAGATTTGCGACACGGCGTAACAGGACAACTGGAACTTTTGCCCAAACAATTGTTAAGGATAAATTTGTATATATACCAATTCTTGAGACATTACAGTCCATTTATAAGCACCCTAACATTACAGATATGATGGTAAGAGATTCACAACAAAGACCAGATTGTCTTTATGACATACAGAATGGAGAATTCTTTAAGAATCATGCACTCTTCTCAAAACAAAAACATGCATTTCAAATCCAGCTTTTTTTTGATGAATTTGAATGTGCAAACCCCCTTGGATCAAAACGAGGAATACATAAGTTAGGAGCTATCTATTTTACCCTTAGAAATATTTCCCCTAAATACAACTCGAGTTTGCGAAATATACATTTAGTCGCTTTATTTCATGCACAAGATATCAAAACATATGGGTTTGATAAAATACTACAGCCGCTTGTCCGAGATGTCTCAACACTGGAAACCAATGGAATTCAGGTTCCTTTGTTTGATCATACAGTTTAACGAACTATTGTCCAAGTTACTGGTGACAACCTTGGTATCCATTCCTTGTTTGGTTTTGTGGAATCATTTAGTGCTACTGTAGGTACTGTTGCCGCTTTTGCTTGCTAGAGAAAGAAGACTTTCAGACAGTGTTCAATGAAGATAGTCCAAAGATGTCAGTGCGAACTAAAGAACTTCATGCTGAACACTGCCAGGCAATGCAGAGCAATCCCAGCCTACCTTATGTAATGGGAGTAAAAAAGTCTTGCCTTTTAAATTCGTTGCAATATTTCCACACCACTGCCAATTTTTCAGTTGATATTATGCACGACATATTAGAGGGGGTTGCTCAATACGAGATTAAATTACTTTTTCAGCACCTGATTGA